TAAAGTGTTTTGAAACATTTTAGAATAATTTTTCTGAATTCCTTCTCAGGCATTTCCAAGGCCTGCCCTCCTTCTAGAATGGAGCCCAGGTTTACCTCTAGGTCATTTGTCTCAGACATTTTATCTTGTTTCTGGACATGTGCTGATATGGTCATCTGCTTTTGCTTCTTGGACATGTTTAGTTTTATCTGTGGCCTTAATACTTAATTGAGTGTGTGTTCTGGTATTTTTCATGCTTTCTGATTTCTTCCAGGTAGATGTGATCAGGATGTGGGTTTCTCTTTTCACTCTTCTTTTTACTTAACTTAGAGTAACTTTCACAGATGCTGTCTGCTTCCCTGGTGTATGGCAGCTGGTATTGGTTCTTGCCTGGATTTTGGTGTTTTATAGAGTGTGATTGTAGCTTGACTATATGGCAGCAGTTGCTTAGGTAATATAGGAAATGAAAGAGTCCTCCAAAGGTAAAAGGGGTTCATAAAACAGCAACAACAAAAATATAAGAAAGAAAAAAACAAAAACAACAAAACTAGGTTGGATCCTGTAGTCTATAATTGCAAAAAGGGGAGAGCAGGGAGAGAAGAAAAACAAAACAAAAAAAAAAAACTTTTGTTTTTAAACTCTCTTTCCCTCTCCACACCCCTTTTCTGGCCTTTTTCCTATTAAAAACTGTTCAGGTCCCACTCTTGGGATGAGAGTATCTGTGAGCGTGCGTAGCAGAAGAACCCACCAGTGGTGGGGCTTGGGGGTGTCCTCGCTTAGGCACCCCCTCAAGTCACCAGAATGGAGGTGTGCAAACAGTGGGTGGCCAATGAACAGAACAAAGCAAAACTGACAAAATATATTGTCCACCTTTGCCTGAGGTTCCTGCAGCGTTATTCTGTGGTGGGTCTTTTCCCCTCACTTGGTCTTGCTGTTTGGTCTCACTCAAGTTGTTAGGCAGATTCAAAAGTATGTGATTTCTTATTTCTGCTACAAGTTCCACTAGCTGTAAGCCTTCAAACTTTTAAAATACTCCTACCTATATGGTTCAGAGTTTTGGAGCTCTGCCCTGAACCTGCTTCTCATGGTATTCTGTGGTATTGCTGACGGCGAACTTCTCTGCACCTCTACCCTATCCGCCATCAAGCCCCGCCTCCATTTGTAGCAACTCTTGGTTGAATTTTACAATAGATGTAAAGATCTTATTGAGAACCATAACGTCCTGCAGCCCCTTTCAGTTAGTAGGACGATGAAAGGCATGTTTGTGCTTTCCTACTAATCTTCAAGATTGATAGTTTGATTCCACCTAACATCACTGTGGAGGAAAGACTTGGTACCTACTTTCATAGATGATAGACAAGAAAACTCTGTGGAGCAGTTTTACTTTGTAACATGTGAAGTTATAATGAATCAGAATCAACTCAATGGTCCCAGGTGTTTGTTTAAAAAGATATGGCTTACTGTAGCACTCAATCTGCCCCCTCAGTACAATGTTTGAAACTTCTCCAGACTCATTAGATTGTGTATACTGTAGGTTTCTGCAGGACTCAAGCAAGGCCAAATAACTCCAACAGAGCTCTGTCAAAAATGCCTCTCTCTGATCAAGAAGACCAAGTTTCTAAATGCTTATATTACTGTCACAGAGGAGGTGGCCCTAAAGCAAGCTGAAGAATCAGAGAAGAGATACTCAAAAGGTAAATGATTTTTAATTATACTTCATTATTATGCAGCCAGAGAAAGAGTGTGATTGGATGTAGGAGTCTTCATTTGACAAGTAAAGCTCTTAACATAACCCGTGCTCTCATTTAAAGAACTTGTCACAAGGTATAATAAAAATGAGATTAATAGATGTATGATGCTTTTATTATCTGTCTGTAACAACCTTTAACCCAAATTTGATTTCCTAGGATGTTTTTACCAAAATTAATAACATCTAGCTTTATTCTCTTTTTATATGAATGCAGTGTGAATATATATTGTTGTTGTTAAGTGCCATCGAGTCGGTTCTGACCCATAGTGACCCTGTACAGGGTTTCCGAGGCTGTGAATCTTTACAGGAGCAGAATGCCTCATCTTTCTCCTGCGGAGCAGCTGGTAGTTTCAAACTGCTGGCCTTAAGGTTCACAGCCCGATAGTATAATATAATAAAATTGATTACTGTGGTATTAGTTACCGTTTGGACTATTATCTCTTTATCTCTCTCTTGACTTGTTAACACAGGTCAGTCACTTGGGGATTTAGATGGAATTCCTTTTGCAGTAAAAGACAACTTTAGCACATCTGGCATTGAGACAACATGTGCATCAAACATGCTGAAAGGTAAAATGTAACGATTAGAGAATCAGTAATTGAAAAAAAAAAAAATGGCACTATTCCATTTAAATTTAAAATAAATACGAAAGCACCATGACCTCACCTTAGAAATTTCCTTCAAGAAAAAGAATAGAATACTATTTTATTTTACTGTTTACTCATTTAAAGTACAAAGTTATTCTTTCAAGGCAGACCAGCTTAGTGAATGAATCCTACCTAGGAAGCTGGAAACCCAGTACCTGTTCAATGCAAATATACTAAGTCTCCTCTAACTCCAGCTCATTAATACCCTGGGAAAAAATGTGAAGTGACTATCATTATCCGTCTGTGGAAAGTGGTGTGGTGATTTAGTAGCAACCTTTGTCCAGTTAATTTTTTATTTCCTGATTATTCCATGTCTTAGAACACTGAGTATAGTTTTATTCTCTAAGGAGCCTGGTGGTGCAAATGACTAAGCCCTCAACTGCTAACCGAAAGGTGAGCGATTTGGACCCACCAATGGCTCTGTGGGAGAAAAGACCCGACAGAGAGTCTCCTCCCATAAAGATTATAGCCTGGAAAATCCTGTGGAGCAGTTCTACCCTGCCCTATGTTGTTGTTGGTAAGTGCCGTCGAGTTGGTTCTAACAAATAGCAACCCACTATAGGGTTTCCTAGGAGTGAGTTTGAATTGCCAACCACGCGTTTCAAACCAGCCTCGCAGTTGAGTGCATATCCTATGGCACCACACCAAGACTCTGCCCTATAAGTCAGAATTCTCACTGTAAATCACAATGGACTTGACGACATACAATGATAACAACAGTTTAATAAAATTTACAGTTTAGTAGATCAGAAAGAAGCATGGTTATCAGTAGGTTTGGATGCTAGGAGGAAACAGAAAACAGATTTTCCAGGGTTCTACATTCTGAAAGTGCTATTCAATGAAGAATATTCCTCAGGTTCATCTGATAGGTAGACTTTTGTTAACTGTTTAGAATATATACTAGATCTTTCCAGTAAATAGAGTCAATTTTAATGAGAATAAACATCTGCCTGAAAATATATATAAATGGCTTTGTGAAATATAGATAGTATCATCTGAACAAAAGAAATACAGTACCATAAATAAACACAGTAATAACTTGCTATTAGTTTCAAGTGAATTAGGTACATCATTTACTGTCGTGCATTATATTATACTACTGCTAGAGTCTGTGTTTTTATTTTATAAAAATGGTAAATGTATTGACTATCATTTAGAAAAAATATAGCAACAGACTATCTCGAAAAAACACAGTAGCTAATAGAAACAAATTAACTCTGGAAGAAAGTACAGCCTACTCAAATTAAGCAAAATGAATACAGGTAGGTAAATGAGTGAACTGCTTAAGTCTAGTTTAAAATCTTATTTATTCTCTGCATATGATTTACTGTGTTTTTTTTCTCTTATAATTAAAAGAACTGATTTTTTTTTAGGTTATGTACCACCTTATAATGCTACAGTAGTTCAGAAGTTGTTGGATCAGGGAGCTCTACTTATGGGAAAAACAAATTTAGATGAGTTTGCTATGGGGTAAGTAACACTGAAATTTTCTTTGTTTTATACAAGAGGGCTTCAAAAAGTTTATATAAAAATTCCATTATCTTTTGTTTTCATTTTTCCACGAACATTTTGAAGCCCTCTTGTATTTCTGCTACCTGTATCGTTAATTTCATTAACTATAGTTAACCTGGCACTGTAGGATAAGCACTGGACTTCCAGGTTGGTTTGAGTCACAAGGTTGGCAATTCAAACCCACCAGTCGCTCCTCAGAACCCCTATACAGGGTTGGTATGAACTGGACCTGACTCGGTGGCACTAACAACAGCAGCAAAGCAGTAAGGTGATTTCTTGAGGACTCTAGTGTGGTTTTTTCATTCTCTCTCTCAGACTATATTTGGTTGTCTGTTGTTGTTAACTGGGTTGGTTCTGACTCACAGCGACCCTGTGTAGGGTATCGAAGGAGTGGGTGTTGAGTTTGAACCACCAACCTCGTGGCTAGTAGTCCAGTGCTTATCCTACAGCCCTACACCAGGACTCCGTATTTGGTTGTCGTATAGTCATAATATCATACCTCATTTTGATTTAAGTTTGCATTTCCCTGATAAGTCCCCCTTATGTTCCCCTCCACCACCTGCATTCAGATGAACAGCACACACACTTGACCTCAGTTCTTTATGTAGCCACCCGACAGATGTGTTCTGCTCCCTTCAGAACCCAAGCCCAGGGTTCTAAGCTGGAAACGTAGGCTGATGCTTTAAGCAGGCTTTTGTGCAGGGTAGGAGAGAGGCACGTAATAAAAATTGCCTTTTTCTTGAGTCAGCATTTGCTTGGTTGCTGTGAACCTCTAATTGCTTACCAGCGTTCTGACAAAGTCAGCTCTGAGAGTTCCTACTGGTTTCATGCTGTGTCTTGGTGGAGTGCATGGAGACTCTTGCTGCTGTCTTGGTGACATTGCTAGAGAATTGACTCCTCAACAGTATGTTCTTGTGACCCATTTATTTGGGTTTAATTTTCTCAGCAGTGTTTTATAATTTTCTGCATATAAATCTTGTACATAATTTGACTTATCCCAGTATTTTATGTTTTACTAATACTACAGAAAAATGCTTTTTTCCATTTCTAATGATTTGTTTCTAGTATATAGAAATAATGAGTTTGTTTCTTGGCCTTATAGCCTACATCCTTGCTGAGCTCACTTACTAGTTTTAGTTGATCTTTGCAGAGTCTTTGGGATGTTTTATGTAGATGATCACGTCCACAAACAGAGATAGTTTTATTTCATATTTCTTTTTCATGCCTTAATGCACTAGTCAGGACATTCAGTACATGTTATGAATTGAAATTATTCCAAAAAAAAAATCATGTGTTGGAGTCGTAACCCTTATACCTGTGTATGTATTCCTATTTATGAATGGGATTTTCTTTGTTATGGTAAAGAAACCAGATCACTGTAGAGTATTTTAAACCTAATCATTTGTGAACTATAAAACGAGCTAATTAGACATAGAGACAAACAAGCACAAATGAGGGGATAGATCTGGAGATCCTCAAGGAACCAAGGAATGCTTGAAGTACAGAAATTAAAAGAGAGCCCTCTCCAGAAACAACAGAGAGAGACCTTTCCCCAGAGCAGAGCCCGAAATGCAGATTTTGTAGTCTTCTGAATTATGAGAAAATGAATGTATCTTCTTTAAGGCTACCCACCTGTGGTATTTCTCCTACAGCAGCCCTATGAAACTGTTGTTGGTAAGTGCTGTTGAGTCGATTCCCATTCATAGACCTTGTATAGAAATGCCAAGGAATGGCTGGTGGGGTTGAACCTCTGACCTTGAGGCATTTTGAATAGAAGTGATGAGGTCACACACCCTTGCTAAAAAATGTAAACAACCTAATAGCTGTTGTTTGGTGAATGATTTAATTGGAAAAATGGAGGCTAAAGAGACATGACAACAGATAGAGCACTGGACTCCATCGATTAGAATCCTGTCCTGGAAGGGGGACTTTGAAGAACCGTAGCGTGTACACATGTAACTTACTTTTAAATGGGTCAGGAAAAAAAAGGTGCATATATGTATGTCTATAAATAGACATGCAGCATGCAAATGATAAAACAGAGGGAATCATTGCTAAAAGGTATATTTCATATTATCTTTATTTTTACAACTTATCTGTAAGGTTGAAATTATTTCAAAATTTAAAAAGTAAGTTATAATGCTTTTCTTAAAACTTCTGATTAAGAAGTCCAAAGACTTCTTGAACGTTTATGACACATTTCAACAAAAAAGCTAATTTGTAAGGGAAGTCATCAATAGTTAAATCAGATGATCAGTTGGGATAAAATCTTTTGTTAGCAGACTAATTTTCTACTTTCTACTATATCCCAATCTCCATCTCCTCACTCTTTCAATGAACGAAAACTACATCTGAGCAAGCTTTCAACCTTTGCCAACTCCAGCTTCAATATAGTATTAAAAATTCAGTGAGTATCAGAAACAAGTAATATGCTCAGGAGACAAAAACTGAACATAAAATTAAAGTTTCACTAAGGTATCTCACTTCTGTATCTCAGATCTGGAAGTACAGATGGTGTATTTGGGCCGGTTAAAAACCCTTGGAGTTATTCAAAGCAATATAGAGAAAAGAGGAAGCAGAAGCCCCTACGTGCTAATGAAGATTCCGATTGGCTCATCACCGGAGGAAGCTCAGGCGGCAGTGCAGCTGCTGTATCAGCGTTCACATGTTTTGCGTAAGGTGTTTTTTCAATTTGTGTTTTAAAAACCAACCACAAAGTCAAATGCAAAATCCAACCATAACCTAGATATTTCATTTCTTCTAAGGAACTGTGGAACTTTTTTGTGCTCCATGCATAAAAAAATAATATACTCCATCCATTGTGTATGTTTTAGATATTTAATTTGAAATAACATTTAGACTCTTCTTCCTTTATAATGCTTAATTCTCTTTAAATATAGGATTTTATGGATCTTGAAGGATAAACTGGTTAGTGTAACTGGACTTAATTGAATTGAATTTTTTAAATAACTTATTTGCTATGCATTATCCATATTATACAACTATTTAGAGGCTTACGTATCCTGAAACTAGGGATATCATTGCTGACATCAAATGGATCTTGGCTGAAAGCAGAGAATACCAGAAAGATATTTACCTGTGCTTTACTGACTGTGCAAAGGCTTTTGACTGTGTGGATCATGACGTACTATGGATAACATTGTGAAGAATGAGTATTTCAGAATACTTATCTGTGATCTTGAGGAACCTGAACCTAGACCAAGAGGCAGCTGTTATAACAAAACAAGTAGATACTGAGTGGTTTAAAATCAGGAAAAGTATGTATCTTTTCACTGTACTTATTCAATCTGTATGCTGAACAAATAATCTGAGAAGCTATAGTATATGAAGAAGAACGTGGCATCGGGATTGGAGGAAGACTCATTAGTAATCTACAATTATTAATTATACCCCCTTGCTTGTTGGAAGCAAAGAGGACTTAAAATACTTACTAATGAAGATGAAAGACTACAGCTTTCAGTGTAAATTGCATCTCAGTGTAAAGAAAACAAATATCCTTACAACTGATTCAATAAAAAGCATCATGATAAATGGAGAAAAGTTTGAAATTGTCAAGATTTCATTTTGCTTGGATGTATAATTAACACCCATAGGAGCAGCAGTCAAGAAATGAGACATTGTATTGCATTGGACACAGCTGCTGCACAGGAACTCTTTAAAGTGTTAAAGAGCAAAGCTGTCAGTCTGAGAACTAAAGTGTGCCTGATCCAAGCCAAGGTATTTCCAATTACTTAATATGCATGTGGAGTCCTGATGTGGCACTGTGGTTTAATGCGCTAGACTGCAAAGTTGTTTGAACTGTAAGGTCGGCAGTTTAAGTTCACCAGCTGCTCCTCCGAAACCCTATACAGGGTTGCTATGGGTTGGAATCGACTTGATGGCACTTAACAACAACAACAAAAATATGCATGTGATAGTTGGACAGTGAATAAGGAAGATCATATACAAATTGATGCATTTGAATTGTGATGTTGGAGAAGAATATAAAGGTACCATGGACAGTTAGAAGAACAAACAAATGTATGTTTGAAGAAGTACAACCTTAGAAGCTAGGATGGCGAGACTTCAACTCTGATGCTTCAGACAAGTTATCAGAAGGGACCAGTCCCCAGAGAAGGCCATCATACTTGCTAAAGTAGAGGAATAGTGAAAATGAGGAAGACCCCCAAAGAGATGGATTGATACAATGGTAACAGCAATGGGCTCAAACATAGTAATGATTGTGAGGATGGATGGAGCAGGACTGGTAATTGTTTCCTTCTGCTGTGCATAGTGGCACCTAATAACAACATATCCTGACTTTAGGCAGTGCTGCTGAGCTAAACTGTTAGTAATGATTTCCTCTTCACATAAATCTGACTTTTGCAAAAAAGAAAAAATGGTGGTGATATGTGTCAAAAAAATTTTTAAAAGAACCCACTACCACTGAGTTGATCCCAGCTTATAGCGACTCTATATAAGGTTCCAAGGCTATAAACTGTATGGGAGCAGAAAGACTCATCTTTCTCTAGTGGAGCAGCTGGTGTGTTTGAACTGCCGATCTTGCAGTTAGCAGTCCAGTGTTGTGGTCTAAATACTAGACTGATAACAATGTTGTTGTGTGCCGTGGAGTTGGTTCTGACTCATAGCGACCCTGAACAGGGTTTCCAAGGCTGTAAATCTTTACAGGAGCAGAAAGCCTCATCTTTCTTCCGTGAAACAGCTGGTAGTTTCGAACTGCTGACCCTGAGGATAGCAGCCCGATTCATAACCACTATGCTACCACAGCTCCATAGACTGATAACAATAGGATATTTAAAATACTGCTTTATAAATCAATATATTTTTTTTAAAAAAATGTGTAGTTAGTGAATGAAGTTTTTTTTTTTAAGTTAAGACTGATCTGTCATACTTTGGATTTTGAAAGAATCCATCAATCATACTTGTTTTAAGTCCCATTTGCTTTCCACCTAAAGAAAAATAAATAAATAACAACTGTTACTATATTTAATTTTTTGGTCTCAATATAACCAAGCTGAATGTGTTTCTTTAGTCATGATGCATGCGTTTTATCTCTTCTTAATCATCTATTAAAACTAAGCACTTTCACAGTCAGGGCAAGCAATCAATTATTTATATTTTTTAGAGCTGTGGATATTTATTTAGGTTCAACAGTTTGGTGGGTTTTTTTTTTTTTTTTTTTTTCAGTTTTCTTGAAATCTTAAGTTATAATCATTTCATTTTATCTCTGCAGAGTTTACAGCATTACATTAATATTAATGAGAATTCTGACAAGTCAGTTCTGCAAGATTAGCTACTTTTTTTTTTTTTTGCATATCCTCATCACCCCACTTAGTGTTCATCTTTCTGAATGTGCTTTGAGAAGATGGCATTTTGACATGTAATTCCTATGGAAATGTAAACCTGTCTTACACAATTGTCATTGAATCGTTATAAGAAAATGTATCCTTTTAGAAACTGAAAGCAACGGTCTAATGTATCTTAAATTGACTTGGGAAGCAAGGACATATAATTTGCATTTTCTGTAGAGCACAACTGTCATGTTATTGTTAGTGGCCTTGTTCAATTTAAAGCTTCAGTTTAAATGCAATCAACAAGCACAAATCAAAAAAGTAGTTTCAGACTGAATCCCCAAACTGTAAAATATAATTTTGTTTTCTTTTCTTTTGATCCTTTTATGTTATAATCATTTTTAAACCAGGAAGATTCGTGGAATACTATACAGCCACTAAAAAGAATGAGATAGAGCCCTGTATAGTGATATGGGAAAATAGCAAAGATTCATGGTTAAGTGAAAAACCAGTTGCAGAACAGTATTGATAGTATTACCCTATTTCTCTTAAAAGTAATAAATGTTAGTAGCTACATTGAAGTGTATGGATGAATGTGTATTGAAATTGGTAACAGGGTTATTATGGGGAGTTGATTATAAGAGGAGTCCCTGGGTAGTGCATACAGTTAACATGTTCAGCTGCTAACTGAAGAATTCAAATCCACTCAGAGGTACCTTGGAAGAGGTGTCTTCAGCACTGAAAACTTAATTGAAGATGCTCACTTTAGTAGTACATATACAAAAATTGTTATTGTCTGTTGTTATTTTTAAGTGTTGTCAAGTTAGTTCCAACTCAAAGTAACCCTCTATTAGGGTTACTGAAGAGCAGCTGGCGGATTTGAACCACTGACCTTGTGGTTAGCAGTTCTGTGCTTAGACCAGTACAAAGAAGATTAGCATGGCTCCTGCACAAGGATCACATGCAAATTCGTGAAGCATTCCATATTTTTAAAAAAAGAAAAGAAAACCCCATGGACCACAGTTCTAATCTGACATGCACAGAGTTG